GGGGGGGGGGGGGGGGGGGGAGAGGTGTTAGTGATAGTTTGGTTTGGTTTTTGGTTTCTATTTGTTTTAGTTTTACTGATGTGTTTAGGGATTTTGTAGCCTCAAATTTCTTTCAAATTGTTGCACTTGTTGTAAAAACCTTTTTGTTTGAATAAATTTTACATTCATTCAGAAAAAAAAAATCGCAGAAAGGAAACCCCAATCATTTAGACTAATGGATCAGAATCATTTGCACGACGTTATTATACATTTTGGCTGAGAGCCTGAGATTTATTATAAACGGTTTTACAAGAGACAACAAATAGCTTAAGCGTTTAACATCAACGGTTGATTGGTGGAAATTTTACAGATAGAACATTATCACTGGAATCTTACAACGATACAGGAGATGTCATCTTTGCTTTTCCTAGAGATTGCTTCTTCTATCAGCTCCTTGGCTGCCTCATGTGGATCTTTTATGCTTTTGATCGCGTCCACAGCTTCTTGGTTTGACATCACCTGTTATTGTGAAATGCAAAACATTTTTGAAAATCAAAATTCAGACACTTATTACCGTTAAAAGGCATGTCTTAGTTCAAGCTCACTGAGAGAGAGACATAGAGATCTAATACCTTCCAAATTCCATCACTCGCAAAAACAATGAACTCGGTCCCATCATCGACTGTCTGATGTGTTATGTCTGGTTCTGAGCTCAAATGTATCTTTAAGCTCTTATCTCCAAACGCCCTCGCAACCGCTAGTTGTCCATCAACTCTTGGAACGTCCCCTGTAACCATTCTCATTAATGGATCGTCTATCTAAATAATGTGAACAAGCTAAGTAACTAACTCTCCATCTAAAAACTTCGTAAGAGCTAACCTGGAATATTGGATACAAAGCCGCCACGGCTCTCTATTTCCTTTTGCTCCTTGCTTGGTTCATGATCAACCGAGAGCTGAGATGCAACACCATTCTTTGACATCACTGCCCGTGAGTCTCCAACGTTAGCAACCACTAGCTTTTGCCCATCTATAAGGATTCCAGTTACAGCAGTTGATCCACCTTTGCCAAGTTTAAGTGACTGCTCTAATATGGAAGCATCTGTTGATATGTATGCGTTCTTTATAGCCTTGTCTATATCAGTCCAAAAATCCTTCTGGAAAGAGATGTAAAATCGCACTTTATTAGAAATTCACAAAAGCATTTTCATGATCCTTCTAAATTTGATATATGTACGTACCTCTTTGAGTATGTTGTCAAAAAGATTGGTCTGCAAGTACTTGGCCACATCATGCCCCAAGTGGCCGTCAAAGATGGCAAACAAACCCAAATCGTGGTTGTCAACTTTCTTGAACTCAGACACAACGTAGTCCTCCATGGGATGGTTAGCTTTGCCCTTGACAAAGTGAAAACCGTGGGAGATGTTTTTCCACGTCCTGCTTTTACCTCTGCCCGTTTCAGATCCGCAGAATCCAGCCTTCAACTATTTCAAAGCAAAAATACATAAAGAGTTTGTTCGGAACGTACACAAGAGATTAAAGGGAGGGAAGGAGAGATCCATGAATGGAAACACTGTCTCTATGCACATTCTTCAAAGAGAATCTTTCTTCAGAAAGAGCAACATGTCTTATATGGGTTGGTTTTTAGACTTTATTTAGATCATATAGATCCAAAAGGGGAGTCAACTACTGCACAAAATGACTCAAACAAACTCAAGAGCTTAAACAAGCTCTACAAGAATCAGTCTCCAAGTTGGATCCTTCTTTTTTTTTTATTAAGGGTAACAAATCTAAACAAGCCTGCTAATACAATCACACTCTCATACATGAGGAAAAGGCATAGAGACTTAGAAGCATATATCGGTTGTCAAGCAGGATAAAAGCAAAAAACAAAGATCAGGTCAGATCACACAAAAGGTGGTACCCTGAACTAATCTAGATCAAGTCTTATGTAATATTTCAATGGTTTTGAATAGCATAATTAACCCAAAAACTTATCTTGATCACCAGAAAGTCAAATGAAACGTGAAGGGTGAGCAAACTTACCTTCATCTTATGGAGAATTTCTCTGCCTGTCATCGTTGAGAAACTACTTGAGTTTTTTTGTGTATGAAATGTGAAATGATTCAGTGAGAAAGAGATGTGTTTATTATGTAGTAAATGTAAGTGAGGTAAGGAGACGTAAACAAGCCGGTGAGGCTATCATTATTGGCTTCTGCTGCCTTCGTTCCATTTTGCTGACGCGCTCTTCGCCGACAGCCTTTTCTTCTTTTGTTCCCATTTTCTTTAATTTTGTTTAAATTAACTTTAGGCAAAAAAGTAGTAACAATCCATAAAACAAATGCTCTCTGTACTAATATTGCTAGATTCTGACATTGCCGACACATATTAAAAAAACATATAAAGTACACAGCGCGTCCAAAACATTATTGTTGGTAAAAAATAATTCTTATTCAATAGAGAAATTATATACAAAACTATAATTTAACCTATATCTAGTTATCTACAACATAGCTTAAATATAATGTATATTTGATGTATTTTTACAGTATTTATCCTAGTAATTCACCATCTTTAATTCTATTTTTACTTTCCATCTTTTATATGATTATTTTTTTACTCCTTTTCATATCACTCGTTTCATATACAGTAAAACCTCTATAAATTAATAATGTTGGGACTTTGAAATTATATTAATTTACAGATATATTAATTTACAAAAGTTTCTTATTTAGATATTATTATTTTAAAATATATTTTTCTCTAAAATACGACAAATATTTGATTTTACTGTATGAATATTAATTATTTTTTAAAAATTTGAAATTTATATCAACTTTATTATATTATTTTTTAATATAATTTAGATTGCACATAATCTAAATATGATTTAGACATAATATTATCAAATCTGATTAAAAATATAATAAATGTTAAGAAATATAAAGAGAACTTCATTGTGAATATAAAACAAACAATATAATGATATTTTCTTATTTATATAAAAATATGTATACATATAATTATTAATTTATGATTTTAATGGGATCATATACTTACATAGAATTTTCTAAAAAAATATTATCTTATTATTGTATCAATTTGTATCAAATTTTTAACAGGTCTAAATTGGGATAGATAAAATTTATTAATTTATAGAGATTATTAATTTATCGTGTATTAATTTATAAAGGTTCTACTGTATTTTTATTTTAATTATCAGACGAACATAAATTTCTCTCAAATTATAGGAATTGCTATAAGACTATTTAATTGAATTATATATTATAGAATACCACATGTTTATAGAAATATTTTATAGAAAGGTGACGACTTCTGTATTTTTCTTTTAACGTAAAAACAATGCTTTACGTTGTAATTCGCACTTGGTCCATGCAACATTTGGTTTATATAAAGCCAGCTTCAAACAAAAAAAACATTTGGTTTATATGTTTTTCTATAATATATTTTATCAGTTGTCGGAAACATCGTTTACAAATTTCATTGGATCATTTCTAGTATATGCTCTACAGAATTTTTTTGATGAATAAAATGATTGTCAATCATTTTACTGTTTGTGGAATTTACTGTATTATTGTCCTTTTATCACTTGTTTTTATGAAAAATACATACCTCTGAAAAACAGATATATATATATATATATATATATATATATATATACTATAACAAGTAGTATTTGTATTTTAAATAAGACTAGATCATAATCCGTGCACTCGCGCTGGTTTTATATTTCAAATATATTCTATATAATTTAGTTTTATATAGTTTCGAATTTGTCCAATTCCACGTTTTATGTTTAAAGAACAATATCAAAACTGTCTTTTGTATTAATAGTGTCAATCATTGTATATTATGTAAATGTAACCGTGCAGTGAAAACACTAGATTTATACGTTTGTTCGAAGTGCAAAATCAATTTCAAGCTTAACTGTTTAGGTAAAAATAATTACTTAAGAGATTAGTTACTTCTGATGTTAATAATATATAACATTATTTAAAATAAAATGGAATTGACTCGCTCTTTGCAAACACGAAAATATTTTATGATGAAAATTTTAAATATTTTGTTAATTTGAAAAAAAATGTGTATTTTTTTTTTACATTTAACTCAGTGTTTTTAAATTCGATCCGAACTTACAGTTTAACTGGTTAATTTAGTGATCCGATAATTTAATTTAGATTTTCAAAATATCCATATTTAAAAAATCATTAAAGACTATGACCAACCGTCTGAACCAATGGGTAACAGATATGCACTATTTAAACCTGAAAATTTAATTTCTATTTATTTTTTGTGATTTTATAAATTATTTGAATTTTAAAATTATTTACTTTATCTAAATAATTTGAAGGAAAGTTGTTAAAAAATATTAAAAAGATGAAAGCTAATATTTTGTATTGTTTGGACACAAAATTAACTATAATGTTATTTGAAAACATTGATAGAAGTATAAAAAAATGAGTATATTGTTTGAAAACATATATTTAGTATAAAAAAAGAAATATAAGTGGTTTAATGTAGGTTTAACTAGAAAGTAGAAATGTGTATTTAATTTTAAAAAATTACAAAATAAAAATTAGGTTCAACACGATGTTTTTAATTTAATAAGATAGATGTTTTTAACAAAATAAAAGTTAGGTTCAACATAACACAGAGTCGTCATGAGTGTGGTATCTTGATGTAAAAAGAAAAAAGAAAAAGATAGATGATGTTTACATAATACTTTTATCTTCTTAAATGTGAATACTCTAATATATTATAACAAAATAGTATTTCACACATAACATGTGTATCTCAGTTGTGTCTAGTCTGGGCGAGTCGCATGCATGTTTTTATGTGCAAGAATGGCCAAATTATCTAATTTTGTGGCAAAATGTGTCGTTTAATTTGTATCGTATGCTAGCTCTATCAAACCGGGCGGGCTTTGTCAAATAAAAAGAATATAAAGGCCCACAAGTATTGGTGGGCCAGCAGTTTTAAATTTCAAAAGTTTTCGCTTCCCTCTCTCTCTCTCTCTCTCTCTCTCCACTTTCTCTCTCAAGCGGAAAAGAAAATACAGATATCTCTTTCTTATTCTCTCTCTCTCAACTTTTGCTTCTCTTCTCATCTGCTTTCGTTGGGTAAATCTGTCGCCTCTTTCGGATAAGGACAACAATGAGCTTATCATCATCAATCTACCTGGACGACCCGCTCTTCCCCTGGCTTCTGTAACTCCTTCATCTCTCTATTTTTTTTCTAAATTAATTATGCCAAGTGAGTTTATCGTAATCTTCCTTTTTGATTTCAGGAAGATTAGAAAATCGAGGGAAGATGAATGCTCGGGAGAAGATCTGGACAAACTTCTTTATGAGTGTATCTCAACTTACAAGGAAGATGCTCGCTACCGAGATGACCTCAGATTCCTCAAGATCTGCTTTCTCTACGTAATCATTTCCTTTCCTCCAATTGGGTTTAGACTGCTTAGGTTTCGAGTTAATCAATTGATGATTTGGGTCTTTTTTGCAATTAGCTTGAGGGGAGTGAAGATTTTGAGAGGGTTTATAGAGAAGTAGAGGAGAATGAGATATGCAAAGGGCACTCGTTGCTCTACGAATGGTATGCCACTTTTCTCGAGCTCAAAGGCTTCTGGACTAGAGCTCATTTGGTCTATCAGACTGGTCTTTCAAGGTTATCTTCTCTTTAGTTCTTTTTCTTTGTTTTGTTTGAAAAATTGTTGTTGCTCATTCTTTGGATATTTTTGACAGGAAAGCCCAACCATTTGATAGGTTAAAAGAGGCTCACTCCTTCTTCTTACAACGAATCTCTAAGCGCACCAATCCATCTCCCCTTCCTAAGGTTTTCTTTTGATAGTCTTTAGTTTGGAGGATTGAATGCAACTTTGCTTGTACATTATACCTTTGCTTTCTATCAGGTTGGTGAGACGCTTTATGCTAACCCCTGGGAAACCTCCACTGTCAACGATTTAACTCTCAAGATCAAACCCAAGCTTGTAAAATATGATGTAAGCCAAATCTTTATACCATTTCCCATGTTTGAGGCTTGTCCACTGAGTTTTCTTTCTTTATGTTTGCTTCAGGGTTACTATGCAAGCAACAAAGCTTTCCCCACCAAACCCAACTTGTCTTCTTTGCAGAACTTTTCAAGAAATAAGATCGTTGACATAGGTACATACACTCTTTTTCCATACCAGTATCTACAGCTCTAATCTTATAGGTGTGTTACATTACACCTCTGTATGACAAAGATTCCTTCTCTTAGTGTTAAAGTTGCATCGTTGAAATTAAAATATGGCATAGCAGTCTTATGGTGTTAGTGATGATCAAGTATGACGTTGTCTAATAAAAAGAAAGGAACAATATATCTTATCTGAGCGAAAGAAATGACCAGGATACATTCATTGGTTTCTGTATATATGCAAGGTGGAAGGAAGTACCAGATCAAGGGTTGTGCTGGTCAAGGTGGTTTTGCTCAAGTCTTCAAAGCATGCATTGACTGCAATCCTGATGAAATAGTTGCTCTCAAGGTAGCTAGGCCCTGGCTTAAAGTTTTTGCAAAAACAATTTGTCAGGTAGCTTATGAGACATATTGCTCTCTTCACAGGTACAGAAGCCACCTTTCCCCTGGGAATTTCACATGTATCGCCAGCTTGATCGCAGGATCCCCGAGAATCAAGTATGTACTTACTTTTCCATTAAGTTTTACCAGATCACAGGCGTACTTATTACTCTCATACTACTATGCTAGAGATCAAGTTTTGGATTGGCTCAGAGAGTGCACATGTATTCAGACTGCAGTATACTTGTGTGCGATTATCTATCACATGGGACACTCCAGGTAGGTTTCTGTGGACTCTTACCGACGGAATAATAACCGAAATGCAACATGCTAACCTGTTTATTTTGCCTTATCTTTGTGATTTAAGGATGTCATCAACTCGTATGTCGTTGTTGGCAAGTCCATGGAAGAAGTTTTGTGCATGTATTACACAATTGAGATGCTCTACATGCTGGAAACTTTGCACAGTGTTGGAATCATTCATGGTGATTTCAAGCCAGACAATCTCCTCATCCAATACCCTCCGTAAGTTGCTGATTAGTTAACATGAAGCCATGTATTTCTTCATCGGAGCAGAGACTGAGATACCTCAACTAATAACTTGCAGGCAAAATCTAACCGAGACAGGCTTTCATGAAAAAACAGGCTCTTGGAGCAATCAGGTAAAAATCTCTTTATACAACTAACTAGCTCTTAGTTATGACTACAATGATCTGATGAACAATGAACCCTCAGGGTCTCTGTCTTGTGGACTGGGGTAGAGGAATAGACTTGAGCCTGTTTCCTAGCACCACCCAATTTACAGGAGATTGTCGTACGTCAGGCTTCCGTTGCACGGAGATGAAGGAGAACAAACCTTGGAAGTTTCAGGCAAATTCAAGTGCTTTTATTTCCTTTGAAGAATTTGTGATTGAACTCTTAGGTTAATGGAACGTGTGTTTGTATATCTAGGTTGACACTTACGGACTCTGTGTAATCGTACATATGATGCTGCACAACACATACATGGAGATCGATAGAAAACAATCTCTGGACGGTGGCCACGTTAATTTGCCAAGAACTTCCTTCAAAAGGTGCGCTGGTTTCTTCTTGTTGTTGTCTCCCAAAGATAGAGACAGAATGGTCGATTCAATAAGTTGTTTTGCAGATACTGGAACGTGGATCTGTGGAAGGAACTGTTCACGAAGCTGCTCAACAGTAAGACGTGTGAAGATGACGCAGAGACACTGAGGAGTCTGAGAAAGTCGATGGAAGCGTATATATGCTCTGATCCTAAGCTCATGGACAAGCTTAACGAGTTACTCGCGAAACAACGTGTTTCTTTATGCTCTTCGTAATTATTTCCACATACAAGAGCTCTGTAAAGTCTGTTTGTGTGAGAAACGAAAAAGAAAGAAAGAAGGAAACATTCAGAGATACTCTGCTTGCCTTTCAAGTGGTGCTCAATATGTTAGTTTGACTAATTTATGTATCTAACAAATCTCCACTGGCCCTACTCTGTATTTCGCATCACATTTATTGATGTTATCCATTGGTTTAATTTAGTTAAAAAGTCAAGAACACAGCAGCAACAGCATCATTTTTTGTTTTTGAATTATATTGGGATAAATAGATAAATGCTCTAGACCAGTCACATGTTACCAATGTCGATATTTTATTATTGACGATGCTAAAATATTAATTTTCTAGTGGCCGGGACTTGAATCCTAATGGCTTCACCATATTTTGCTTTTGACCTCAAAAATTAATCACACAAGCATAATCATTTCAACGTCATAGAAGGATAGAAAGGCATTCATCTATACTATTTTCATTAAAAGCTTTCACTAACAACGTTTGCAACATACATTAAGAAAGTTTAATACTTTCATTCTTTAGGAGGGGGGGGGGAATCCCCTAGGAAATAAATTCTCATCAACTTTGAAATTTTTTTATTATTTGTTCATGAATTTTAAAACTTTTAGTAAAAATACTATATTTGGATAATCAATAGATTTTTTTAAAAAAATATTGAAGTTGTTTTTATATTGTTTAGCTACTTTAATTATTTACTTTTGACTATTTGTATATATTTTCAAATATTAAACCCATTCGAATATTTAACCAAGATTTTGGTACTATTTTTTCAGATCAGATTCTGTTTGATCTTTCGGGTTCGGACTTTTTGCCCAACCCTAGTTTTGTCACTATAATATCATAAGTTTATGAAATGACCTGGAAGAGAAGTAGCCAAGCTGGAAGAAAGGTGTTATCGTATTGGTTAATAATTTACATTGAGTTCTTCATATAAATAGTGTGTTGTATTAGGAACTCTCGAGAATTACGAGATCGCCTAGAATCAGAGTTGGTCCTCAACTTTTTAGTGCCCTATTCAAAATTTTTTGTAGCATCAACTTTAGAAAACATAATTTTGTAGCATATTATGTACTTATGTTTAAATTATAATGTATAAAATTCCTTGAATGTATTTTTATCAACTAAAGGTTTATTCAATTTTTATTTTACAATTAATATTTATATGTTACTAGAGTAAAAATGTAAATATATATAAATATACATATATATAATATTTTTTTAAAAGTGGGGTCCCAATAAAATGAAGGTCCCATTCAAAAGTTTCATAAAACTATTCACAAGTCTGGCTCTGACTAGAATATATTCGATTATAATTATTAGGGAAGTATTCTATTATGTAAAGAATTTGCTAGACAAGTTATGTACTTTGTATAAATAAGCCTAATGGTTAAGTTAATAAGATGAGAGAAACTATTATATTATCAAGATTTCCTCCAAACTTATCAAGGTATAAGAGTCATAGATCCAATTTCTGTGGATTGTGGTTTTCTTTTATTCTTTTTTTGTTTTTCCAAAACAAAAGTTTTCATTATTAATATTTTCCTTCGAAGTTCTTATTTACTACTTTCACTTCATAACGAGTTTTTGATTATTACAATTATGATTTCTTTTCTTTGATTTATTTTCTTTTGGTTTTGTTAGTAAAAAAAAAAGACCGTCTCATATTCAAAGAGGACTAAGTTCAATTTGATTATTATAACTACGGATTATGAGCATGGACCGCTGATATTTATTTGTGTATTATTTTTCTTATCATGATCTTCATGTGGCTATTTATCAACTACAACTTCGATGTAGTCACGAAGATGACGACCCCAACGGGTATAGAACTAGACATCAATAATATAACAAAATTTAATGTGATATCTTTTTAGTTTATGTTTAATTATATATTTCTATTTATAATTTTATATTTTGTGTAACGTTGTAAAGACTAAAATAAAAACAAAAATATGAAAATTCAAATTTAAAATTTTGAGTTGTGACATTCCATATTTAAATTTTCCTTACTCAAAACTTCAAATTTGAAGTTTTAAAAAAAAATTTGGAGAACAAAAAATTTCATATTTGAAATTATAGTGTGTATTTCGGAGATGCCTTTCAGTCTCTTATTATTTTGGTACAAATGTGGTAAATGATTTTAGGAGGGAAAATATCATTTAAATCCTTAATTTTTAAATTTGGTTAAAATAAAACACTTGTTGTTTTCGTAAGCTAAAAAGACATTCAACTTGTGATGAAAAACTACTTATTATAAGTTTTTGTTGACCATAAAATTTTAGTTCTTATCTTTAGTCAACAGTTATAATTGACTCACAATAAATCTAAAATAGTTTGTAAAGTTGATTTTTTGGCACAAAACATACGAGAGGAAATTCAAAAATTTTATGTGAAGAATGAAAACTGCTCTTCAACTAAGTAATATAGTAATCAAATAGATCCAAGATAGATATCAATATGTAAACTAGCGGAATAATATAGACCAACAAAACAATAATATATACGCATCCTCCTCCATTGATGACAAAAAAGATGATTTTATGCATCAGATAACATAAATACTCTTTTTGATAGATAGATAAGTATATTATATATGATGACTATTTGAACCTAGAGCACGTACAGATTCGGAGGCGGCTGGAGAATCACCGTTACTCTTAATACCGTCTCACACGATGATTCCACTCGTTAAGTCCACATCCAACATAACGGTGGGTTTTAGTTTCCATTTCTTTTTCTGATAAGGAATTCCACGAGCTTCAGCTTGACTCTCTTTGACTTCCCTCAGATAAATCCTTATGGCGCGTGCAGCAAATGGGTTCAAATCCAGCCGTCCACCCTTTTCTTTGTAAGCAGCTCTAAGACGTCCGATCAACACATCAAGAGATCCCCAAGAAGATTATGAAAAAAAAAAAAGACTTAAGTAAGATTCCAATAACCGGTCGTTCCCATTGATGGCATTTACTAGGCCTGTAATTTGAACCGAACAAACCAAAACATAACACAATATGACTACAATAATTTCAGAAAATTGATTCAAATCAGGTGATGATGGTCATCACAAAATTAGATATGTACTAGTCGGTTCATAGATGTCCTGTCTCTAGCTTAATTCACAAGTGGTTATGTAAACCGAATATAACCAAGTAACATGTGATTAATTGCTACTCTTTTTGCGTTTCTTAGAGGGACGTGGACCCACAAAATCACAAGAGACAGCTCCAAAAGTTACAAATAAGACACAGTTTGAAGGGGTTTTTTACTGTTTACGGGTCCTACGTACTAATACGTGGCGGTATGTGATTGGTTCAATTTTAACTTTTTTTAAAAAGAAATTACTTAGAATGATTCGAATTTATCTTCAAATGACTAGAATGACTCATATTAAAATTTAAATATTAGACCCAATTCAGATAAAGATAACTTGACAAAAAACCCCTTCTAATTCCCAAAAAAGAAATTATTAACATAACTTTTAAAAAATTAACATAAAAGATTTAAATAGAAAAAGGAAAACTTGTTTTCTAACTTTGGAAAACTGTATATACCGGAAATATGAGTATGTAAACATTGGATCTAATGTGAAATTACTGATTTGATTCCTTATATTGAATGTGCTATTCCATGTTGTATAAAGACAGAGAGCTTGAACACATAGACCATGTTGTCAGAGAAGAATACAAGGATTCAAAAGACGACGTCTTCTTAATCTATAAAAAAACATATTAACTTAGAGCATCTCCAAGAAAAACCCTCAATTTGAGGGTGAAAAATCCTCAAAATAAAGTTTTGAGGGTGGGTTACTCCAAGAAGAAATTTCAAATTTATCTTCAAAATTTTATGCTATTTTCATTTTAGTCCTTAATTTTTACATAAAAAAATTTTCATCACTAAACTTTATAAAAATAAATAATACATCACATTAAAAATATTAAACACATTATTTATAAATACAATTTATTATAACACAAAATATATTACATAATAATAAAAATACACACACTAATTCATAAAAAATACAAATTAATCCCTATTGTTATTTTCATAGTGTTCCCATATATGATCAATCAACCCGTTTCGAAGTAAGAAATGAGTCTCTTGATTTTTTATCTGAAGATTACGAATTAAAAACTCTTGAAATCTAATATTTTCATTTGTCGCCATTTCAAAAGTTGCTTGTGGTGCTGGTCTTGCATCTCTACCCGGTGCGTTGATATCACGTTCATTTTCATATTCATATTATGCATTATAATGCACGCTGTCATTATATCATGCAACCCTTTTTTATTATAAAATATTTGTGCTTGTACTTTTTATCTTTAATTTGTAATATATTGTCCAATGTAATATAATTTTTATTTGAAATGATAAGTACTCTATTTAAATAATATTATTTTATATTAGTTTTTATTTTATTTTAATATATTATATATTTTATATATTAATTATATATATAAGATATATTTGAATACTTAAGTCAAATATAACTATAAGAACTAAAGTGATAAAAAAATTACTACAAATACAATTATATGTAAGTTATAAAATTATAAGGACTAAACTAAAAAGTAAATAGTGTTTTGAGGGCCTCTACTGTGGACCCTCAAATTTGAGATTTCACTATTCACATCCTCAAAATTTGAGGGTTTGAGGGTCTCTTGGAATAACAAAAACCTCAAAATTTGAGGGTTTGAGGGCCTCTTGGAGATGCTCTTAACCATCAATATGACATTGCTTAATATATTTATAACATCTTATTTTGACCAAAAAAAGAAGATTTTATATGTTTTGCATCCTTTATTCATTGTTTTAACCATCTAGCTTTACGGAAACTCATATTGAAATCCAGTTATGTTGAATTTTTCAGTTTATAACTCCTATTGCAATCAATTTCAAAAACAAATAACGTCTGGTTCTTACTTCAAGAAATAATCTATAGTACAATCAGGAAGTAATAGTGTCTTAAATTAAATTGACTGTATAAATCAGGGGTTTAACCAGAAAAAGGGAGTTTCGTGAAAGAAGTCCCGCTGAGCCAACTAAAGTTGAATCAGTCTAGATAGGCCTGGACAGAGATCGGATATCCAAGTTTTTGTGATCCATATTTCTCTAAGCAATAAAAATTAAAACAAGAATTAAAACCACCATGGAAAATGAACAATTTGATAAAGAAGAAAAGAAGGGTAAAAGAGATGACGACAGTTACAGAAAAATGACCTAATCCTGATCTTAATTCACTAGAAATAAACCAAACTCGAAATTGCAATAAACCGATTTTAATTTCAAAAATTTAGTTTGGTTTAGTAAAACCTAGAATTAATGCAACAAATCTGCCACTTCGTAAAGTAAAAAGTCTGCCACCTCATAAGTCAACAAGCCTGCCGAATATATAAATCAGTTATATATCTTTGCTATACGAAACTCAGTCGATCACAAAAAGCTGTCATTTCTAACAAACTTGTTGTATCATCCGACAGATATATTGCAAAAATCGGTTTTCTATACAAATCGGACAAAATAAATTTACCGTAGAAAGAACTCTGACGTTTTAAAGAAATCTGTCACCATTTTTATGATAGATTATATTTTCTTATACGATTTAGAAAACAGACTTAATGTGCGACAGATTTATTTTTCTGAAAACAAATCGATCGACGATCTAATTTGATGGACACTTTGGTCATTAATTTTTTTTTGTTATAATACTACAGCCAATGATAATTTTGACCAGAAAAACATTTTAATAATTTTTAAAAAAATATGAGTCATTCTAGTAATAACACCATTAATATGTGTTATTATAGTAATAACACCATTAATTTAAAAAAAAAAGATTAGACAAATAAAATCAAAAATTAAAAAAATCATATGGGTTTTGGGATAAAATTGGCCTTAGGATTGACAAGACTCTCTCACCCTCCTTACGTGGGAATGAAAGCAGCTGCTGAACGTCTAGCTTACTCTACCTATCTATATACATCAACCAAACAACTTAGACACTGATTTTCGAAAAGGAGTCTACTGATCTAATAAATCTAGAATTCATATCTAGCACAGAAGAGATAAATGCCCATTAATCGTATACTAAATGTTTATAATGGCTATTTATTTAGGTAATTAAAGGTATAGTATTGGTAAGACTAGTTAGATAGTACATGGGTCAAAGCGACTTCGGCAGACAAGTTGTGACAAAGAAGATCAGAGCGGTCTATTAACTACGCTTTTATGATATCACATGCCCTCACATTATGTTTTCCATTTTTTTATTCTTTTTCGTACTAGCTAAATTAATTCTTACCAGTCGAAAAAGACATCCAGGTAAGTTAATTATTTATCTTTTGTGTTCCTTTTCGTGTAAGTTTGGCACTTTCTATATTTGGGATGGCGAAATATTAGTGTCACTATAGTATATGATAAGCTTTGGAAACGAGTAATAATTATATAAAGTTTTCCGTAAAAGGTTTCTATATCTAAAATCGTAATAATCTTACTATCATATTCAAATGTTCAGATATTTTCGTTTCATAAACGATACTGAGAGTTAATACGGAGTTTAAAAATGTGAATACAGAAATTTCATGTGTTGGAAGTGCATCTCTATTTTGGCACACATGTCATGTAAGTATAAATATTATAAGAAAAAAAAAGAACAAACGTCAAATGAAATTTCGTTTGATAATAGTTTAAGGAATTCTAATAGCTAGCTAGCAAAATCAGGCATGCATGTGAGCACGTGTGCACGTAAAAAATGTAAGGGCATGATTATCCTTAAAAATTTATTTGGACTTTTTAACTAAAAACAATTAATCATGAACTTTCACATGTTAATGGAATACGCAAACAGTGCAAAAAAAATCATAAAAATTAGTTTTTAATTCATAGTTTTTGTAACACATTCTTATACTAGTTATGGAATTTCACGCAATAAAAACATCCCTTAAGAACAGCATTAACACATGTATTTAGGACGTATCTTATGTTAATTATATGTTAAAAATGTAACACAAAAATTAAGAGAAGAGTATTTCGCGTCACGAGCCTACGGTTTTTTTGTGCACGTTTTGTGTAAAGAGAAGACAGAGGAGAGGCGTTTGTCTTCGTGTTTGTTCTTTCTCTCTCTCTCGAAATCTCTTTCTCTTCCTTTGTGTCTGGAAATGCGATTTTCTATGGCCTCTGTGATTCCTCGACGAAACGCCGGTACTCCGTCTCTCCATGGCTCGTCGACGAAATGGTGTTAGAGGCGTCGCTTATTAAGCGCTAAAAAGACGTGGCTTATCTCATCTCTATCTCTCTGCCACGGAAGAAATCAGTCGGGTGGAGGATTCTGTTTTAATTCAAAGGGTTAACCTTGAGAAGCTGTTTCGATTCTCTTCACAAGAAGGCTGATCCAAAAGGCTCGAGCTTTGTCTCTGCATCGCCGGCTTCTCCATGGGCCGAGGGAAGAATAACGTGACGGCGGCGGAGTCACTGACCTAGCGGATGGACCTGGAGTTGGTGAGACGACGACAGAGCCGGTCCTAGTAATTAGGAGGCTAGAAGCCAAAATAAAAAATGTGGCCGGAGCGGTTCGAACTCATGACCTTACAATACTTGAAGCAACAACACAACCACTATGCTACTGAGAACTAATTGTCAAAATGTGGCCGTTTATAATCTTATTATTTGGCGGCCGGAAGCACGAGCTTCATTGGCTTGCTTCCAAGGCCGGCTCTGGACGACGAGGTTCCAAGGAAATGATAAGAATGTTGTGGCTGTTGACATTGATGAGGGTATGTAACCTTCCCTTTTTCTTTGATTAATCATGTTTACTGGGAGCTAGAGATCGTTTTTAAATGTTTTTGTTATGAGTTATTGAATTTTTAAATGGACTCTAGAAAAAAGTTTTAGACTTTAACAATCAAGGAGGTGTATAGTATCTGGAAATATGTATTTAGATAGATGTTGTTGGAGCAAAATGTTAAAATCTCAGATAATTTCAATTTGTATTGTGATTGTGTAGGAAGACTTATAAATCCAAGAGACATGAGCCAGGAAAAAGCAGAATCAGCGTGAGATAGACTAGAATGTCGCTATATGAGCCAAGAAAGAGCAGAATCAGCGTCTGTTCTGTATTGATCCCAAGGTACATATCCTTATTTTTCAACCATTTGAGTTAAGATTGGATTCTTTTTTTCTGTGCGTCATCTAGGATTCACTATGTTTCATGAAGCTATTGGTTTCTTCGTTTGTTTGTATGTGATCATAACTTCATCTTGGATAAGTTTTATAATAACTTGTTTGTTGTGTATTGGTTTAGTTACATGTCTTTTGGTATTATCTTTGGAATTGCAGTGTCTTAACATAACCATTTACTTGGCAGCTCTCTTTGAACTCTGAATCTTGCCGTGAACTGCCTCTACAACTACACAAACCCTTTCCTTCTAAGGACAGAAGTACGTACATAAACTTTCTCTTTACTCTCAGAAGTAGCTATCACAAGAAATTTTCTGAAAGAAGGTAAATATGATTAAATTCAGGAAAGGTTGATAGCATTAAACATAACTCAAACTCAAAGTTTTTGTTTCTTGTTTCATGTTCTTGTTTGGTGAAATAGTATAATTTTTTTTTCAAAATCCCTTAAATAAAAAACTTCTATTGAAGCACAAAAATGTTGATGTCTCTTAAGTAAGTCTCTTAAATAACATTTAATACTTAAAATCACTAAAAGATCTAAAGTGGGTTTTTGGGTTAATGATGTTCTAAAAACCCATTAAGAGATCTTACAATATTAAAAGCTCTAAATAAGAGCATATGAAGGGTGCCACATCTGCAAAAATAATTGTCCAATAAAATGTTTTTATTTGAACAAGTCAGCATGGCTTTGGGTAATATTGGACTTAACTTTTTTTAATCTGAATGGTTGGAAGAGATGGCTCATTCAGCCCAATAAACCAAACTACGAAAGTTCTTCATCTTTGTTCATCGTCGTTTCCTCTCCTCTTCTTCGCTTCCAAACCAATGTTGATCAATCACACTACTCCACCCCTCTGCAATCAAACCTCCCAATATCTCATTTATGGTTTCTTTTCATCTTGATTGAGTTTTGAAGGTATGTGGTGATTAATCGCGGTTTTGTTAAGATCAGATTTATTTTTTCATTTGAAAAGCTGTGACTTTTTACTTACTCATGTCGATTCATTTGATCATGTCTGGCTCCCTGCTTCTAATTTCTGATATGAGTCCATGGATTCTTACCAAAAAATACTTACTTTTTGTTTCTATAAGGTTGGAGTGAGGTACCTATTGCTACAAGGTGTGAAAATAAATGATTCTCATGTACGCTTCTCAGAATGAAAACGTGAAGAAGTATCAGCATGCCGTAAGTGGTGAGATTTATCTCATACTACGAGATTCTGAGCTTTATAAAGAAGGCAAAAAGGTATACACGTAGGACTAATTTTGGTTGATATTACAATAACAAATCATTTTTTACGAACGTTGGGAACCTTCATGCTTCAGGACAGAAGCAGCTGACATTTCCTCACCAAGTATATCTATAATTCTCAGCCATCATTCTACGTTGAGACTAGATATTAAAGATAACAACCAATTGTTGCAGGTGGTTGCGCATTTTGAAGTTCCATAGCAAATGTTAGAATGATATTTCCAGCTGATGTTATTGCAAGAGCTAAACATTATCCTTTCTTGAATTCAGGTCGCTTGGGTATTACATTCACTAAACTCATCAGTTAGCCGGCTATCTGCATATAGATGTAGTGTGGAAAGATCTGATAATTATTTTCTTTCTCCGGGTGTCATCAGGCTCTTACAGTGACTCAAGAGGTATTCTGGAAGTTAGGAAAGCGATTGCATCTTCGAAAGAGAAAGGTTTTTTTTTTCAGTCTGATTCGTTTTTGTTTTTAACAAAATTACAGGATCGAAAATCTAATTATTTGGAGCTGTTCATGGCTGAAACAGCTTGTGCAGAATTCCTTTAGATCATATATCACCACGGAACTAAGATAGACGTGTGGTCGCCATGAGTAAGTTTGTTGTTCACACGTTTTATTGTGGTTTTGTTGAGTATTAGTGATTAAAGTTTTTCGTTTTTGTTTCGTAGTATTAAGAGAAAAAGAAGGAACCTTTTTTTGGAGATTGTTGAAGAAGGCAGTGATGATAATGTTTGTGCTGCAACTGAGGTTAAAGAGAGGACTAGAAGGTGAAATGTATCTAAATTGTTGATGTCAAGAAAGGAAAAAAAGACAAGTTACATAGAAGATGTTCATCAACTTCGCTTGCTCTATAATAGATATTCACAGTGGAGGTTCGCAAATGCTATAGCTGAGGAAGTTAGATATATCCAGAGGTTAATTGCTGAGGTAAAAATACTTTTTATCTTTAATGTGACATTGTATTGAATTGCTCTGTTTTAACAATCTTGAGGTTACAGGAAACTCTATACAAGGTCTGGCATGCAACATTAGACCTGAGAGATGTTGTGACAACCAAAAGAATTTTTCTCCAGTAGATGAAGCTAGAAATCAAGCTTGATGATATCTTAAATAAGCAGGTACGTCTTCTCTTTGTCTCTCTCATGAAATTATCATCATCATGGTCTTAATGCTTCCATGTATGTATTTTAACAGATGGTTTGCCTTGAAGATTGGGCCATATTTGAGAGAGAACATGTCAGTTCTTTAGCTGGCGCCATTGCAGACTTGGAAGGAAATACTCTGCGCCTTCCACTAACCGGAGGAACAAAGGTATGTGGTTTTACCTTTTCACAGAGTAATAGAAAACAAGTTGATGATCAAGAATGGAGAACTGATTTAGTGAAAGCTCTTGTGATCTTCACAGGTGGACCTCAGATCTCTGAAGTTGGCTATGTCATCAGCTCTTGATGTAATGCATGCTATGGGATCATCCATATGGTCTTTACAGTCTCAGGTGAGACTACTTAATTTTCATGGATCCAAAAGATTATGTCCTATCAAGTGCGTGAACTTTTACCTCTATTGCCACTGCAGATTGAAGAGATGACTATACTTTCTTCGGATCTTGCCGTTATAGCTACAAAAGAGAATTTCATGCTTGGTAGATGTGAAGAAATGTTGGCATCAACCGCAGTCATGGAGGTAGCAAATCAAACAAAGACACTAAGATATCTATATTATATGTTTTAACAAGTTAACCGAGTTTGTCAGATTCCTCGAATCCAGATAGAAGAGAGTAGCCTCATGACTGATTTAATGCAAAAGAATCAAGAATAAGAAGAGATGATACAAAGTCTCCATTGTTGCCATTAAGCGAGTTTCCACGGCCAACACTTAACAATGACTTGAAAATTGCTCTTTTGGCTGCCATTTTCTTCTGCCGCCATCCTTTCTCCATTTTTTCTTTAACTTGTAGGAAAAGTATGCGAAATAAATGGTCTAAAGAAAATCAATGAGAAAATGCAATTTAACAATTCACACGTAGCTCAGTTTATTTCCAACTCAAAATTTATATTTATAAATATTTGCAAACTAACCTTAATTTATAAACAAGCTTCTGATAACAAATTCATGCTAAAGCACATAATGCATCATGATTTAACAAATTCATGCTAAAGCACATGATGCATCATGATTGGTAATTCATTGTCTCTTATAAATTTTAAGGTCTGAGATTAATATGTAGTGTACGTCTTAAATAGGATAAAAACTAATATTGTTTTCTTAGAATGTGTGAAAATTAAAAGAAACATATATCATTGTGGGTATATATAATATGTAGATAAAACTTTTGTAAAACAATTATGAATCTCAATGTTATCTAAATGTATGCATTTTTCATAATTTCAATTATTATTTTTATGTATTGGTCCCAATTGTCTAAACTATCGCACTCCAACAAGAAATGTTTATATTTACATGAGCTATATTTACCCTTAATTTTAAAAAATTAAATAAATATTTATAATCATAGAATTAACTAATCTAGACTTAGAGTTTAAATTTGACGAATATTGTTTTGAAAGATGAGGTATAAAACTTTATTAAATATATAAATAAATACTTACCTTTTTAAAAAAATAATTAAAAATAGTTTTAAAAAATTTTGAATTTGAAAATTAAAATTTGATAAAAAAAAACCAAAATGTGAAAATTTGAAATAAATAAATTTTGAGACAAAATTATAAAAAGTTCTAATTTGAAAATGTATAATTGAATAACTATATAATAAAAAAAAACTCAACATTACACCAAATACTAAATATGCAGAGTACATTGAAAAGAAAAAGAACATGTGTTTCTCATCCTTTGGTGTGTTAGTTATGGCAATAATTTTCTAGAGTTTAAATCTTAATCCTATTTTAAATAAGTGGCAGAAGAGAAAAAAAATCATATTCCAAATAATTAAGTGAAAATCCTATAAAAATACTTCAACTAAATTTCCTCACGATTTTGAAAACCCAAACTTATTTGATATCGGTTTAATATTTCAACTAATTATTCTACTCATTTTAATATATGTGCTCATTTTACTACCCAACCTATGCTCATTTTAATCAAAATTTTAAATAAATTTCAAACAAAACTTTAAAAACTTTGAAATAAAAATAAATCTGAAAATTTTCATATTTAATTTCAAGTTTAGGAATAAAGTAACTAAGTTGTGGATAAAATACTAAAATTTAGAAATTATTTAAATAAATTAATTAATTACTTTTAAACTTCAGAAAGAAAACTAAATTTTAAATGTACAACAACTAAGAATATAGTTTTAAATATTATCCACAGTTTAGATACTTTATTTATATAACTTAAAATAAAAATAGAAATTATAAAATTGATTTTGATCAATTTTGAAGATTTTTTAAATTTTCATTTGAACTTATAAATAATTTGGGTATTAATATGAGTACAGTTTTAAGATTAACTGTATTAAATGAATAAATAAATAATTTATTTATGAAATTGGATAAAAAAATTTAGGTATTAAAAAGCTTAATGATATTTAGTTAATGTATTTTTATGGATTTTTCAATAATAAATTAATAAAAATACATATAATTTATTAAATTAAATATAAATTCAAACAATTCAATCGTGACATAATAGTATAAAAACAGTTTAAAAATAAAATATTAAAATACGTAATCCGTGCGTAACACGGAGAAATGATCTAGTTCTAATAATACTTAATGATTGACAAAAAAAAAAGAGATTCTTATAATCATGCTCTAATACGCAAGGTTCAACAAATTCACACATGTGCTCACGTGCAAGAACACGCACTTCGACCAACGACACACTTTAGATGTGACACCTTCTGGTCACTTTCTCTACAGTCACTGATAATTCCTATGCTCCCGATTCGATGTTCTTGTCCTCCATGTTTTCTCTTCGCAATTTCACTTCCTTTCACATATGTGTGTTTGTTTGTTTTCAAATGAGTTGTATAGTTACCTTTGTGTGTGTTTGTAGTGTGTGTGTGGGTAACTTAGCTTGAGAACAAGAAGTTTAAGCTGTGTAAGGAATCAGGACGTTAAGTTCAGGTGTGGATTAGCCGATTAGGACAACTCTGTTTCTGTATAATGTTTTTAGAATGATAGTTCACTAGTATAAACTTTCAGCATTAGTTAAATTATTTTTAATGACTCCAGAAGAAGAAGACATTATGATTTTGTAATCGACTTTTAAAGTATTATTTCACTATGACAATGTTGTATAGTATGTTTTTTTTTTATTGTAACAAGACAATGTTGTATTTATTTTTTATTTTTATTATTATTTTTTTTGCCAAGTATTCCAAGGAGTGACAATGTTGTATTTATTATCACATTTAAGCATCAATCACAACTCTAACCACCTGGCGCGGACCCATCTCCTTTGTTACTTCCAAGCACAAACTGGTGGACAAGTTCTTTATCTGTGGATGAGTTACATTCACGTTGTAAAGTCCATGCAACAGTGAGACATCTTCCTCTTCGTTCTCGTGGTCCACCGTGAAAATATTTGGAATCTGTGAATTTATTTGTTGCCACTCCTTGAGCAACTTGTCGATTACATCTCCTGTCTCTGTATTGTTGAAATCCTTGTCCGCGAGTGTCAGCTTGTCAAAACCAGACACCTCAGGTCCACCAAATATTATGATGCCTTCCACCGCAGGATGTGAGTACGCTTCCCTGAGAATCTCTTCCATGTATTTTGCCTATCGATCAATCAAACTAGTAATCAAACCCACTTTTCTGATTTATGATAAATTTATAAAGAGGGAGAAAGGGTTCCTTGCTATACAAGGTAACTGATGACAGACCTGATTAGGGCATGTAGGCATATCAAGCTCTGTAATCCATACAGGCAACCCAAGTGAGCCTAAAGTATCCAATGCAGATCTCATGTAAGGTAAGTTAGGCTGAGTTGGACTAAAGTGACCCTGAGCACCAATTGCTCCTTTAATGTTCTCGTTTCCTTGGTTTGCAAGGATCTCCTCCATCTTCTCCTTCACCTTAATTGGTGTTGCAGTAACCTCTTTAGGGTTCTCAATCGTGTTGTACTCGTTAACAAACAATGTCACATTAGGATCTAACTTATAAGCAAGGTTGTAGAATCTTGACGAAGCGTTTACACCAAGTATTTTCTCAAAGTAATCCCAATGCACATTCTCGTTAACCACATCCCACCCGGTTAACTTACCTTTGTATCTGTTCATAACCGAATTTATCCGGTTCAGGGTTACATTCATCACATCTTCGGGATCTTTTATATTTTTCACCCAACTTGGTTGCATCCTTGGGTCGTCCCATAACACTGTATGACCTCTTACCAATATATTATTCTCTTCTGCGAATTTCAGCATTGAATCGGCTGCCGTGTAGTTCTCCTTCCCACGTACTTCCTCTGTTCTATACCATTTCATTTCATTGGTGAATGACGTGATTGCAAACCGTGCCGCGAACCATTTTCTGTACCCTTCACTTTGAAGGATCCGAAAATTCATTCCACAGCCTAAGAGGAAAGATGGTTTAGTTTGATTTAGGGATATTACTGCGTCTTTTACCGCGGTGTTATTCTTATAAGTTACTTCAAATCTCACTTTGTTCTTCCTTATCTGCAACCAATACCATGCATCTTAGAGCAAAACAGCACATCAGAGATCTGAAACCACAAATTATAGAACATTGGGTACCTTTTCAATAAGTTGATCTTGTCTCAGTTTCCATTCTTCTTTGCTAAACTGTTTTAGTGACAGATTTTTTGCAGAGATCTTTGCTTCTCTGTCTTCTCCCTGTTTTGGAATAAAACATGTGTTAGCATAGAGAATATACCTATGAAATCACATGTATAGCGTTGTACCTTGAAGAATATATCTACAGGGCCTGAAGCATTTGGTACAATCCCACCTTTAAGCAAAGACCAACATCCTTGCTTTGCCCTAACTTCACCTCCATGAACAAGTCTTCCGCTTTCTGACCTGAATACAACTCCTACTTTCTTGTCGTTTTCTTCTCTCAACTTCACCCAAGCTGTGTTTCCATGCACAAGAAAAGAAACTGGATGTTCAATCTAGATAAACATAACCGGACCAAATTCAATCCAAACCTAACTGAAAAACTATCTAAACTTGTTATCAATGTTGTTTAAATGGTTATACTAACTTCTGTATCCTGAAAACAAAAACTGATACATGAGATTGTACACATCTACAAGAGACGAATTACACTAAATCATTTGTTTGAAATAGTAACTTACTATTCAAAAAACCATGAAATGAAGATGTGTTATATTATATAAACAATCAATTAAAAAAAAAGTATATATTATATAAACAAGCGATTAGGTTGCATTTGTGTTACCAGAGAAGCTGTAGATGTTTCCTTTCTGAAGCTGAATTCTCTGCGTCATTTCTCTAATAGCTCCATTTTCATCTATCTCCCACTCTTGATCAGAGTCATCTTCAACAGACCGGCTAAGTAGTATTAATTCTTGTTTCGCAATGCTTCGTGGAGGCTTCATCATACACTATATATGCGCCATATTTTATCAACTTTAGACAGTTTAATTTTTGCAAAAATTAAATTCCAGCCTGTGATATCGAGGTAATATCAGTTTTGGTTACCTCTGTTTTGAGAGAATGACTTTGGGAGAAAGGATCAATAGCAATCCCCAAATACACTAGACACATGAAAAGAAAGAGCATGAAGAGGAAGAAGCCACTATTGATACTCTTCATCTTCCTTCCTGTAAAATTAAAATGTCACGAAAAAACTTATCTGTTAAAGCTTAGGGTTGTCACAATCTAATCTATTCTTTTACTCTTCTCTTTCCTTCATTGATTTTAAAACATATTGTATTCTTATACTGAAATAGGCTTTACATTTTATTTTATTTTTCATAAAAGATTATATATAAGGTAAATCCCTTATCTAAGATATTATTTGCAAAGTGATTTTAACACATGTACTTTCTACAATCAATTTCACTAAATAAAAATGACATGTCAAACTAGAAATATGACATGACTAATGGATAAAAAATGACATAAACAATTATATTTAATGTTTATCTATATTTTTGGTAATTTATTTAGAACATAGTAATAAATTATATATATTGTTAAATTAAATCTATTCAGATATGACAGTAATTAATATAATAATAATAATATAATCCAATATACATTATTTGTAAAATGATTTTAACACATGTACTCTATACAATCAATTTCACTAAATAAAAATGACACGTTAAACTAGAAATATAACATGGTTAACGGTTAAAGGTGACATGGATAATTACATTTAATGTTTATCTATATTTTTGATAATTTTTTAGAACATGGTAATAAATTAAACATATCATTAAAATAAATATATTCAAATATGACAGTAATTAATATAACAATAATAATAAAAAAATATTATATACATTATTTGCAAAGTTATTTTGACATAAGTTATCGTTACAATCAATTTCATTAAATAAGGATGACGTGTTAAATTAGAAATATAACATGCTAATGGCTAAAAGTTATATGGACAATGACATTTAATGTTTATCTATATTTTTGGGTAATTTATTTAGAACATGGTAATAAATTATACATATCATTAAATTAAATCTATTCAAAAATATAGATAAACATTAAACATTAAAAATATAGATAAACATTAAATATAATAATAATAAAAATATTCTACAAATTTTGAAATAGTATTATTTATATTTTATAATTATACAATTTTACTATTAAAAATGTTTTCAATTATTTTTATACTTTTGGAAAAAAAATTATAAATTTTAATCATAATATCATTAATTTATTTTATATATCTACAAATATTAGAAATAGTGATTTACTTTTTGATAACTATAAAACTTTATATCAATTTTTATTAATTTATATAAATTGATAATATATTTTATCCAAAAGAAATAGATACATATTTGTCTAATATTATTTATTTTATCTTAGTTTTATGATCAATTAGATTAAAATATGGGTAAAAAATAAGAAAGTCTAATATAACAATAAAATTTTATTTTAAATATAATTTCCATTTAAAATTTTATTACTGCACATAATGCAAAAAAAAACACCTAGTATATATTGATTTTCAATAGAAAATGACTTGAACTACACAATCTCATAAAAACTCAGATCCTGTTGTGGTAATTTGAATTTTTAAACCTCTTGCAAAGTCGCAATCTCTAGTGTTTATCTCCTCTTAGGAAGTTTTTGCTGAAGCTTAGGGGACCAATAAAATTTAACATGAACAATTGATATAATTGTTTCCTGTTCTACTAAATTGTCTGCTACGGTGATTCTCTGGTAGCCACGAATGAGAGACTTGTCAATGCAAAAACAGATATGGAGGGTCTTATAGCAAGACTGAATCAAGAGATAGCGGTGAAAGATTACCTGAACAAAGAGGTACGTACAATAAGAAAAGATTCGTATTATCATTTTCTCTTTGGAGCTAACGGTAGTGTTGTAATCTTGGTTTTACTGGTCAGGTTAATGATTTAGGAGGGGAACTTGAAACTATTAAGCAGAGAAGCAAAGAGAATTTGGAGCAAGCTATTTTGACCGAGAGGGAAAGATGTACTCAGATGCAGTGGGATATGGAAGAACTTAGACAAAAATCTTAAGAAATGGAAATGAAGTTAAAATCGAGAAATAGTCCCATGTCAATTAAATCTTTTGCAACCAAGCTAGTTCTCATAGATAGGACATAATTTCCTACAGTAGAGAAGCACGCTGATTCAAATCATTACAACAGGATGGGAGGAAGAACCCACTGAATAGCCAACTATTTCTGAGAGAGATGCTTTATCGAAAGAATTGGATGCCAGAAAACAATAAATAGAGGATCTCTCCAGGCTATATGATGAATTAGAGGCAATTATGTCCTATCTATGAGAACTGCTCGAACACGAGAGAAAACTACTTGAGAACACGGTATCGGCTAGAAAAAAGCTGCTTAGTGACTGCATAATTCTCCACGACCGGCTGAAAGAGTACAACTTGAATTTATCAACGGACGGAAATGGTAGCTTGGTAGAGGACTCAACTACAGTATCAGATGCTTTGCGGTTGCTTGCTGTCAATATCTGATGATCAAATTGAAGAGGTAGTGCTGCATTTCTGCTCTATCTCCTTTTAAAATCACCAAGTTTCCCAACTAAGTACACTCATATCACATCACATCGTTGGCTTCCTCTAGTAGGAGTTGCTTTTCACTGCGTCTTGATACTGTTAATCTATTTCATGATTTCAATTATAAAATCAACACCAAAACCTAATTTAGATTTGACTTAATTCAATCCTAACACATTTGTAACACATTTGTCAAGAAGGTAGAAAGACTAACCTTGATCCATGCTTGGATGCAATCCCACCAATTGATGTTTTCCTTTTAACCTTCTCCTTTGGTAATTTCTTTGATGGAACAGAAATCCCAAAACCTTCCTTAATCTCTCTTACTAATAATCAGTATTATTGTTGTGTGGTTTTTAAAGATTCTCGTTCTCTTACGGTACGTGTAAAACCATGCACGAGATCTTCTTATAGAAAGTCAAAGGGTTGTATCATGTGTGTAAAACCATGCACAACTCTTCCACGATTCTAACATAACCCTTCATTATAATGACAGTACGATCAACAACGCATACTCATATATATTATATCATTATTTAATACATATAATATATATATGCATATGATCATGAGATTAAAATCATTTATAGATATAAGGTAAAGCAAGAGGGTTATCAATACACTCGGATTCTAATTCATTAATCGAAACCGATCCATCACGGTAACGCCTTTTATATTAGAATCTAAAAACATTAATATGAACTTGTACTTTATATTAAATCAATAGACATATAAGTCACGCAGATTATAAAATATTCATATATTCTCTCACTTAACCTTTGTCTCGACTTAAGGATTTAATAACTTTAATGTGCACTTTTATATCTAGTTCATTTACTAAAATTTTAATTGATTGAATCATGGCGGTTGTATGCTATTAAACGACATAGTCCTTTCCATGTATCACAAATCAATTCCAATTTTAATCTTCAAATATGAGAAGAAACTTTATTTCTCAAACCAACCATATGTTATCTACAAACCATAAGTGTATACATATACTCTAATGATAACATAATTAATAAATCAGAAACATAACTTTATATGAATTTTTTTGTGTCAAATACATAATGAGCATCCAATAACTAAAATAGCAAAGTCTTATCTATAATACACATACGCTCTACATGGCCATTGAACGCCTTGGGTGGTAAACCTTTAGTTAGCGGATCCGCTACCATCATGTCCGTCCTTATGTGCTCAAATGACACTCTCCGTTTCTGAAATTCTTCTTTAACAGACAAGTACTTTAACTCCATGTGCTTAGCACCCTTTGAGTACTTGTCGTTCTTTGGAAAGAAGATAGTTGCAGAATTATCGCAGTAAATTCTCAGCGGCTCGGCTATAGTGTCGACAATCCTAAGCCCTAAGATAAAGTTCCGCAGCCATAATGCATGAATTGTGGCCTCAAAGCATGCCACAAATTCAGCCTCTATAGTGGAAGTAGCAATGACAGACTGCTTTCCACTCTTCCATGATATTGCTCTCTCAGCTAATAGGAACAAGTAGCCAAACGTCGATTTTCTGCTATCAACGCATCCGGCATAGTCTGAATCTGAATATCCAATGATTTCTAGCTGATCAGATCTCCTATATGTAAGCATTGAATCTTTGGTGCCTTGCAAGTACCTGAGAACCTTCTTTGCAGCTTTCCAGTGGTCCATTCCATGATTACTTTGATATCGACCCAACATTCCAACAGCAAAGCTGATATCGGGTCGAGTACATGTCTGAACATAGTTCAAACTCCCAACCACCGATGCATAGGGAATTCTTTCCATTTCCGTGCTCCAATTCATTCTTAGGACATTGCCTTTTACTGAACTTATCCCCTTATGAATTGGAGCTATTCATGCAGAGCATTTTTCCATTCTATATCTCTCTAAGATCTTATTGATATATTCTTTCTGAGACAGACTTAATAATCCTTGTGATCTATTGCGAAAGATTTCTATCCCGATCACATAAGATGCCTCACCCATATCTTTCATTTCAAAGTTCTTAGAGAGATACTTCTTTACATCATGTAACATACCCATGTCATTTGCAGCAAGCAAAATATCATCAAGATATAGGACTAAAATCACAAACTTACTCCCACTGACCTTAATGTAGATACATCGCTCAACAATGATCTCTACAAAGCCATATGATGTGATGGTATCATTAAACTTTATATACCATTGTCGAGAAGCTTGTTTTAGTCCATATATTGAATTTCTCAGCTTACACACCAAATTTTATTTTCTTGCTTGGTTGATATCACTCAAATGTTTAACCCTAAGAAGTGAATTACTCTCTCATATAAGAGGTTCAGTTGTAGTACTTAGGGATCAAATCCACAGGGAACTAAGGAACACAATATATGTAATCCTAAGTGATTATGCTAGGTTGATTAGGTTTAAAATAGTAAATTGCAGTTTGTGAGCAATAGTAAGTTGCTCAAGAGAATAGGTTTTGGTTTAAAACAATAAAAGAAAGTAGTTAGATTCAAGGTTACTATTCAAATAATTAGGATTATAATGCTACAAATGTTTTAATGAATTGCTTGCAAGATATATGAGAACTTCGATTCTTAGACAGATCTAATAGCAATCGCTAAATAGACTCATCCATTGATCTTATTGCCAGCAATATCGACCGATGTTTTGACAGCGATATCGGACGATATGGGTTGCTGTCGATCGATAACTCTATAGGAGTATCGATCGATATAACATAAGACCGAATCAAAACTGTGTTCACCAAGATCATAGACCGGCTCTCGCACAACCCTAGAGGATCTAAGCTTATGCCAAATGATTTCAGGACAATGATTAACAAGTTAAATCACATCCATGATCATACTCTAGGTAGCTACTCTAAAGTAAGCATTAAGGTTCATTTGGATAATGAATATCAACAATTCAACATTTCATAGTTGGGGCTAATCCCTCATAACTATTTGAACCCTAAATCTAACAAAGAAATCTACTCAGACATAGCTGAGAGATTCATAACAGCAAGGTAATAATAGAAATTCATTAGATTAGAAGATTGAACTTTTGGTTCTTGGAACAACAAATCTCTTTGTGTGTTTCTTCTAAATCTAGAATTCTATAACCTTTGAGAATTAACATGAAAAGAAATACTTTATTTCTAAGTATAAAATAGAACAAAAGAATTCAAAAGCACAAGAAAAGTATGCAAAGCTTTTGAAGTACAAAAAGCACTAGAACAATGAAAGCATGTCTTGCCAAACACATAGGAAAAAACTATAAATATGAGTTCCATTAGGTTAAAAACTCGTCAGGGCATTATTGTAATATTGGGAAGACTTGGGCTTCAAGTCGGCCAAGTCGGACTTGTTCTCCACACATCATATTGCTCGATGGTACATGGTGTACATCGATCGATGGAGTATCTTGACTTCATCTTCTATGTAAGCGTCATCGATCGATTACACAGGGTGTGTATCGATCGATATGTATCCTTGTTGTCTGATCTTCATAGTCATCTCGGAAAACTCTCCTTTAAGCTCCAAAAGGGCACCTAAATCATCACTTTACTCCAAAATGCTCCTGAACCTGAAAACATATCTAATAGACTCCAAAACATATATAAAACTTATAAAAACACATTAATACCATGGCTAAAAGCGGGTCAAAATCATGGTATATCATTGGTCCATATATATTTCCTCCTCAAGATCGCCATTCAGAAATGCGATTTTCACTTCCATCTGGTGAAGCTCAAGATCATAATGAGCCACCAAAGCCAAAACAATTCTAAGAGAATCCTTTTTTGAAACATGAGAGAATGTCTCTTTATAGTCAATGCCATCTTTCTGAGTGAAACCTTTAGCAACAAGGCGAGACTTGCGTCTCTTAGGTTTACCTTTCGAGTCGCGTTTAGTCTTATAGACCCATTTTCAACAAACGGTTTTGAAACCATCAGGCAACTCTACTAATTCCCATACATGATTTTCACTCATAGATTTCATTTCTTCTTTTGAGGCATCAAACCATTCTTCAGAATTGTCACTTTTCATGGCCATTTTGAATGAGATCGGGTCATCATCCATGCTTAAGTCACATTCATTTTCAATAGTGTAAACCACATAATCGTTTGAAATAGCAGATCTTCTTTCTCTTCCAGACTGCCTTAAAGGTATTTGTGGTTCACTACTCTCTTCTTGAATTATGACATGTTCATCAACAGTATCTTCAGCTAGTGGGACTGGCACATTATTATGTTGTTCTATTGTGTCATTAAATTCTGATGCAACAATAGGAACAACTACCTCAGGTGGAACTACATGTGAAGAAACTTCAACCTGAACTTCATTAATGTCCACCTTTCGTGTTTCACCACTCCCACTAGTTTCACCGTCTTCAATGAACCTAGCATTGCCCGAATCAACTATTCTCGTACTATGGCTAGGGCAGTAAAATGTGTACCCCTTTGATTTTTCAGGATAGCCAATGAAAAATCCAATGAAAAATCCACTGAC